CATGGAAAAGCCATGAATCGGATTGTGATATTTATGGTGCTTGTGGGCCTTTTGCGATCTGTAACTCACAAAGTTCCCCAACATGTAGCTGTTTGAAGGGGTTTGAGCCAAGGAACAAAGAGGAATGGAATAGACAAAAGTGGACCAGTGGATGTGTTAGGAGCACAAGTTTGCAGTGTGAAAGGGTCAGCAACCAAAACACAAGTGCAGATGGATTTTTGAAACTGAAGATGATCAAAGTTCCGGATCATGCAGATGGGACATTTCTCAGTCTTCAACCAGACTCGTGCAGAAGCCGATGTTTGAAGAACTGTTCTTGCATTGCATATTCATATGATGCTAAGATTGGTTGTATGTCTTGGACAGCGAATCTAATTGACATACGACAATTCACTTACGGAGGACTTGATCTATATGTCCGTGTAGCCTACACAGAACTTGGTATAATTTGTATAATGCTAGTTGTTATTTGCACAAGAATTTGATTTTCATTAGGACTGAAAATTTTCAATTTTCATTTTTCCTGATTGCAGATAAAGATAGAAACATGATACTCATCATTAGTATTACGGTGACAATAGGAACTACCTTAATTGTCACATGTGCATATATCATGTGGAGAAGGCTTAATTCGAAACACCATGGTAATATATTATATCATCATTATGGGTTAAAATTACTCAAACGAGTTTTCTTTATTGGTACAGTTTATGCAAGCTATATACAAAGACATGCTCAAGAACATAACAATAAATTCGTTTTGTTTACTCGTTTGTGCTCTTTTTTCAATGATTGAGAAACAATTTTAAATCACCGTACACGAAAATCTATGTATGTTGTTTCTCCCCCTTACTAATTTGTGGTATTGTAATGAATCAGTGAGAGGAATCTTCAAAGGAATCCTCCAATTTAACAGAGGAAGAGCACCTGTAGAATGTACAAATGACGATGTATTTGGAGATCTGTCACAAGTCAAACTCCAGGAGCTATTAATATTTAGTTTTGAAAAGATTGTAACTGCCACTAACAACTTTCACCCATCCAACAGGATTGGACAGGGTGGTTTTGGTCCAGTATACAAGGTACATTAAATTTAGTTTAAGTTATTTATATCTGAAATCATTGTGAATAGTTTCATATTCTTCATTTTTATATTATAGGGTAAATTGCAAGATGTCGCAATGTTAAACAAAATTTGCGACGGTTTACGATAAACCGTCGCAATGTTGAACAATTTTGCGACGGTTTTGAAAAACTGTCGTATGAAGGGTCGCAATATCAAAGCGACGACGGTTTCTAGATAACCGTCGCAATTTGTCCGTCGCAATTTATCATTTTTCTTGTAGTATCAACTTGGAATGTTGTCTCTCCTCCCCCCCCCTCCTTGTCTCACCTCCTTCTTCATCTACTACCTTTTCCTTCTCACCTACCCCTTTCTATTTCACTAGAGGTGTAAAAGTGAGACATACCTCAGTGGGCTAACCCAAGTCACCACAAGTTCAAGTCAAGCCATGATAGAAATAAAAAATTTACATTGATTTTAGCTCACTTTCAACTCTACTCACTTAACCCATGAACCAAATAAGTTCCAGCTGAATTAACTCACTTATCCCACCAAGAATTAAAATATAATTAAAAATAAAAATGTCATTTGAATGATATTTTATTTTATATTTGTATTTGAATCAATGAACGATTTAATAGATAAATTGTGTCTCTTTTTTCAAAAATGTAAACAGATATAAATTTTTAATTTTTAATAATTTTTTATTTTAAAAAATCTGGTGAGCTAACTCACCTAACCCACCAACCAGTGGTTGGTTGAGCCAAGTTGGAAATTTTTTGACTCACCAAAAGTGAGTCATGTTGGGCAAATTTATTTAAAGCCTCAACCCATGGTGAGCCAACCCATGTGAGCTAATTTGGCTTACTTTGATACCTTTATTTGTCACCTCATCCCCTTCCTTCTTCTTTCTCTTTCACACTCTCGACTTACACATTTTCAATCATTTTCTTAGTCATTTCTTTTCCTTTCTTTCCTTCTAACACTTTTTAATTCATTCGCCTATGACACACATTAATTTCACTTTCTTGTGAAAAATATTTTTTGATATTCTTTTACTAAGGCTAGTATGAAAACCCTTGGTCAAAGAGTTTTTAATTTTCATTTTATTTTTCACAAGTTCTTGTACAATTTATCATGGAGATAGTCGATATTTGTTTTCTCTCACCACATTTAAGTATGGATGTTATTGGTAACTTTTAATTTAATTTGATTTTTATTTACAAAGAGAATGGTGTGATGAGTGCTTAAATTGATTTTGTCATGTTGTAAGACATCCCTACTATAAAGGAAAGGGAGGCATGGATGAGACAATAGAGGAAAAGGGGAAGAGGAGGTGGAGGGAGAAAAGTTAAATTGATGTAATATAAAGAATGGGAAAATGAGATGGTATAAAAACTTGAGTATTGAAAATATATATCATTCCATTTTACATCCATAAACAAATGGAGATGGGAGTTCAAGATATCATGTACTACATTTCCTAGCAACTTTGGAACATTTTGAAGTATGTGGTACAAAATAAGATTTAAAGATAGATAAAAAAAAATATAATCAACAACAAGTCCTACGGCAAAAGATTTTAACTTTATATAGAGGAATCAGTTGAATTAATAGAAAACATTCTAATTATTGCCTAGCTCACAAGGAAGTTCACCTAATTACCTTAGTTCTAATTTGGAATGTTATAGATTGTTAGATTACCGTGAATGCTCTATAAGTCATTACCTACCTCTTGTAAATTTAAAACATCAAGCCATTTCCCCTAAATTCACCCTATGACTAATTAAGAATGCCAAAACAATTCGTGAGGTCGACCCAAGATAGTGATATTGATATGCCTAACAAATAGTTGGAAGGCAACCAAATTATTTGTCTACATATGATCCTCAAAGGATTCAAATTATCGTGTATGACTCTAACATACAATCATCCACCATTGACATGGGCAAAGTCTAGTCATTTTACATCCTAGTTATTTGGCACGAATATGATAAAGGATGCTATAAAATAAAACATTTTTGGGTCCAATTGAAGCCAATGGATACCTACTGTACTAAATGAGTAGATACGGTGACTTATTTGTTTTATAAAGTACCATACTTTGCCAACTTTTTAGATGGAGATGTGAAATTTACTGCAAAATTCATCAATTATTTCATTATTCAATGTAACCAAATTGATTTTTTATCGACAATAGTTATTTCCTTTTACTTACATTGAACGACTTTTACTTAGTATTCGTCCTTACCATCTAATTCAATCAAGATTTAAGCTTATATGAAGAGATGTTTCCACAATTGATTTTACTATCCTTAACCAAATGTAACAATTGTTGTTTTGGTGAACCTCGGATAGGTGAATAAGTCTATCACTTAATACTTGGGGAAATTCAAGTGTATAAGAAGAAAATGCAGTGTTTAGTTTCCAATAGTTGAGTATGCTAATATAGTTAGGCAAAACATACACCAATGGTTGAAGAAAAAATTAATCATATATAACTATGTTAATCTCTCCCACTTATTAGCTAAAGCAATTAAGGTGGAGCAATTCATTTGAGAGAAGGAATACATCCAAAAATGGCACAAGAGGAACATAAGTCGTGTCCATGATAATTGAGAAGTAGGGAAACTCCTCTAATGAAGATATGATAGCTATACTATTGAAAGAAAAGTTGTACACATGCCCAACCTTAAAACCTTCAAAGTAGAAGGTGTAATGTTCCAATTTTTCTAAAATAAGTTAATAAATAAATAGGTTTTAAAATAAATAAATATTTGGGAATATTGGGGCTATAATAATAAATAGGTTTTTATAATTAAAATGCTTTTGAAAAAATAAAGAGTTTTCATAATCCAATTTATTTTAAGAAGCTTTTTAGTTTTGGTCCTTATATGTCCAAGAAACATTATTTAAAGAAACCTCATAAGTCTAAACCTAGTTTCTTTTCATTTTTGCATGCTATATTGAAAACCCTTTTAGTAGAATTGTAACCTAAGGAGTGAAGAACGTTGAAAAACATTATTGTTATTGCTTGTTTGTATTGTTATTATATAATTAATTATTTCTAGATAAAGAGGAGGTGAATTGTCTCACTTATGAGCTTAATAAGGGATGCGGGTAGAAAGTTTGACCTTAAACTAAAGATGTCAAACAAACTAACCCAACTCAAATCAACCTAACCTTCCATTTACCCGTTGAAAAATGGGTTTAAGTTGGGTTGAACCCTTTTTCATTGGGTTGAAAATTTCAATCCAAATTGTGACAGACTTGTGGGTTGGATTAGGTTGACCCACTAAGCTTTAAAATAGATATAAATTATTTTTATTTAATTTATTTGATAAGTCTATCAACAACAACATTAGAATAAGTCCACAATATAATCAGAAATAATTTTGTCATCAACAATAAAATAAATATACAATCATAAATAAGTTTTAATAAACAAATAAACGACAAATAAAATACTATAAATCAATGTCAATAGGTAAAAGATCAAGGAAAATATAAGTCAAGCCAATAGGCCAACCCAACCCTACTCATTTGAGTGGGTTATATAGGTCAACTTGTTGGGTTGAACCCATTTTGATACTTATACCTTAAACCTTATGCAATTGTGACTTTGATCACGTTTTTTTTTGTTATTTTGTACCATAAATTTCTTCTTACTTGCTTTTTGTATGGTTGGAAGGGTTGAGAATACCCAAAAGGTATTGGTTGTCATTATTTGTAATTTGATAATTTGGTATGAAGGTTACTTATTATGTTGCATGCTCTTAGACCGATTTTGAGATGTGTGTTAAATTAAAGTTATAAGGGTATGTGTTTGACTCTTAAATTTCTTCATATAATTGTATTTTTCTTATTCAATTGAGTAGAAACATTAAGTAATTGATTTTTGGTCATTAGTATTTATTCATAAATGTTTGGATGAGTTAAGGGTTTGGAAGACCCCAAATAAATGAAAATTGCTAGATTAGGAAAAAACTAATTTGCGAGTCCCTTTGGTGCTAAGAGTGAGAGCTTTAGCGAGTAATACTTGTTCTTTGTTCCTTTGGTGCTAAGCGTGAAAGCCATATATAGAGTCACAATGATTTCATTTCTAAGTAAGAATGATATTTTGCCAAGGACAAGAATCACATCAAGTTTGACACTAAGTAAGACTAAGGCCTCGCTAAGCTTGATAGTTCCAAAGTGTCATGGTGAGTTTACACTATGTGAGATGTGTTGTGCACTAAGTGTGGGAGCTATAGAGAGAAACCCTTGCTCTCTATTCTCTTAAAGCTAAGTGAGAGGTGTTTGGAGCTAAGCATGGAATTATTAAAGACCAAACCATGCCCTTTATTTATTTGACGCTAAGCATGATTCTCTAGTTTATGTTTTGACCTAACAAACATGTGACTTGTTAATAGTGTTGTATGTACAATTTGAATTGATGTTAAATGATATGTATAAGTATGTTAAGTATATTGATAAACAAGAGTATAAGAATGTTATGGTATATTATGAAATGTTTTAAATGTTGGTCTAGCCTATAAAGGTAGGATCCTCGATGTGAGACTTTATGATACCATGTACATCCATATGTGATCATGCAACCATTCATGATGAAATGTTGTTTTTAAGAAAATGCTTAAGGAACATAGTTAATGGATGACATATAGGGTTGTTAAACCTAAAATTGGTTAAATTAAATTAGCGAGGAATTTCTAAAGGTCCATGTTGATCCCATATAAGCCAAAACATACTACTATAGTTGGGTGACCTTGAAAAGTCACTAGAGGATATCTTACTAGTTAAGTGTGTCAGTGGTAGTTGTATACTTTGTGAGAATGGGTCATTGACTGCATGTATTCTTAGTCTACCTTTCAAATGTTTTGACTTGGTACCTCGTGCACAAGAGATAAAAGACTAAGAAAAAAGCATCACATCATTTGCATGTGCTTGGAATTGATAAATGATACATATGAATGTTTTATTTCTTTTGCGTCAGTGAGTTCTAGTTATTTTTCTCCTATA